TCCTCCCGGCACAGCCGCACTGCAGCCGAACCCCGCACCCAGGCCACAGGGAACCACCAGCATCATTTCACCAGAGTCATTTCTTTTTGCACTAAGAAAGCTGCAGCATTTAGCCAAAAAGCACGAGCCCTGCTGCTGCTCTCCCGCGCGGGTGCCTCGCCGGCACCAGCATGAGAGGGGTCTGGGACTCACAGCCTGGTGCCACCGTTGCCCGTGGAGAACGGAATAGACAACCAGCATCAGACTTGATCATAATCCCGCAATAGTCCGCTGGCTGCGGCAGACAGCTGCTTGGAGGGCCTAGCACCCAGCTATTACTAAATCACAGCTCCAGTAACGATCCCCTCGTGCCAGACCTCCTCCCCGGCTGCACGGGGGGAAGGGCAAGCCCGGGGGGGGGCGACACTCAATGCACCAAGGGGAAACTCCCTGAACACCAGCACAGAGGGGATTTAACACACTTGGATTTATTCCATCAATCATTCAAGGCTTCAGACGGGACCCCACGGCCCCACTCCCCCAGCCGCTCCGCTATCTGCAGCCACACTCATCCACCACCATGTCCTCGTAGTGCCTCAGCACCACGTTGTCGTTGTTATCGTAGTAGAGGATGGAGATCGGGGAGAGCCTGACGGGGACACAGCAGGGCTGGGGGGTCCCCTCCGGGTCCAGCGAGTGCACCATGGTTTGGAGGATGGCATGGTTGGTGCTGTTCAGCTCCGCTGTCAGGGGAAAGGGGCACTCGCCCAGGCAGTAATTAGCCATGTAGCCCTGCGGGGCGATGATCCAGTTCTCCCAGCCAACGTCGCTGAAGCTGATGTAAAGGCGCCTGGGCTTGCAGAGGTTGCTCGGAGTGACGGGCGTGTAGTGAGCACTTCTCCTCCTCCTGGAAGCCTTGCACTGCTGCTGGCTGAGGGTCACCACCAGGAGAGAGGTGTCCAGGAAGGAGTCGATGCTGGTGCAGAGGCTCTGCAGCCCCCGGCTCGCCAGGACTGATGCACCATCGCCGCC